CCGGTCGACCCGGGTTAGTCTAAATTCGCCGATTAAGTTCAATTTTGACCCAATTTTCAAAATTAAACCCCAAGATTGAATTCCTCATCACATTCCGAACCCAAATATGTGATTTCCCCCAATTTTTGTTATGATTGTGTCCAAGATTTTTACATTTTTGTATTCGGGTTAATAGGGTTTTGTTCAATTTGGTGTCCTAATGACTTGATTAGGAAAATTGATGCCAAAATTGAATTACCCACATCTGATTAAACCCTCGAAATGATGGTCTCATGGTTCGACAATTTCATATTGGGCACGATTCCCAATTTGGGCTCAAAATTCTTAATTTTCAATTAAATTTTGGGGTTTTCTGATTTCTATGAGAAATTGTGCAATTGGACCGACCATTATGTAATTCAAGGTCCCAGAATCATTTTTTGTGAAGACACTATGACTTAAAAATGACTAGAAAAAATTTAATTGCATTTTTGGTTCAATTCGGGTTTAATTTTGCCCAATTTTGGGAAAAATATACCCGATTGAGATTTTTCAAAATTGATGAATTATTAATGAAATTGGATTTAAAATAAGACTAATGACTATTTTTATGGAATTTTCTGATTCCATTTGCTATTTTTCTTGATTTTCTCATTTATTTTGACTAAAAGAAATTAAGGAAAAATGCAGGAAAATGATAAAAAAAATATTTTTTTTGGTTTAGAAATAGGTTTATAGGCTTGGCCAAGATTTCTAGTCCTAATTTTGAGATTTTTGAAAATATGAAAAAAATGAGTTAAAAATCAGGTGTCAAGAGCATTGTCACATAAGATTCTCAAAATTTTCGATGAGCTTATCATTTTGGATTTGCTCAACAATTTCTTGGGGATATTCTCAGTTTGGCCATTCTCGAAATCTTTCGATTTTGTATTTGTCTGGTTGGAATGGGAAAGAATGCCTGAGAATATACATGTTGATTTTTGTTGGTGCTTTTGGTCTGGAGAGAAAGTGTGCAAGCACATTCTTTTTTTCTGCAATGTGTTTGGTTTCAAATGAATACTTTGAAAACCATTTAGCCTATCGGAGCAGCTGAGGATGAGGAATCTGCTTCTGTTTAAATTTGGTCATCTTAGAAAAGGATGCCATGTCCAATTCCACTAGAAAATGATGGCCAATAAGATGGAACTCAAAGTTCTTAATTCCATTCTTAAGTGCCAAGATTTCCTTGAAAGTAAAATTAATGCATTTCTGCCTGGGAAAACTTGCTACTTTTGTAAGCATAAAGATGTCGCTTACCATCAAGTTCTTCGAATAGTATGGCTGCCCAATATTAATCGCCAACATCAGTATGCAGGATTCTCTTTCTTATAGATGAGATTTGTAATGGAGAAAGATCTTGCATTATTTCTTTCAGTTCTGCAACTGCTTTGGTTTGTGCCTTTCCCCATGGTTCATGATGTTTTTTTAACATCAACTGCAAAGGAAGTAACAACTTTGCAGTATTCGGAACAAAATCTCTAAGATAGTTAATTATCTCGAGAAATTGTTGAATTTGCTTAGTTATAAAATTCTTCTCAGGAAACTTTAGCAATTCCTTGGCAATATGTAGCCCTGGATAATATGTGCCTTTATTAAGGTGCATACCTAGGAATTTGACTTTCGTCTGGGCAATGATCATCTTCTTTGAGAAAGCATAATGCCATACTTCTTTACAATTTCGGTGAACTGCTCAAGAAGTTGGTAGTGGGATTCTTCATTTGGACTGTAAAGTAATATGTCATCAATGTAAACAGCAGCACTAGACAGAATTGGCTGCAAGATGCGACACATGGCCTTCTGAATAAGGAATGAGCAAATTTGAGGCCAAACGGAGGGACTTTCCACTGGAAATGCTGGTTTGGGATGTAGAATCCTGTTTTGGGTCTATTATCAAGATGGATGCCAAGTTGCCAAAAACCCAATTTTGAGATCAAATTTGGAGTAAATTTGGGCTTTGGTGATTGTCGCAAAAAGGGAATTTCGAGAAGGCAAGGGGAATTTATCATCTTGGAGGAAGAGGTTAATAGGCTAGTAATTGATGACTAGTCGCATTTTACCTCTATTTTGCTCAGCTTGTTTGTTAACATATAATGCTTCGCAGACCCATTGGGAACTCGAAGTTTCAATGAGTTCTTGTTGCAATAATTCTAAGCACTCCTTTTGAGCAAGAGCTAAATGCTCTAGATTCATTCCTGAATGACTTGCCTTAGTAGGATTTATATCCTCATTTTTTTTTAAAGGGAGTCGGACATAAAATTCTAGATTTTTCCATAAAGGATGGGAACATTTCTTGGAGAACTCCTGTCACGCCCCGACCCTTGAGCGCGTTAACATCCCACCAATGATTGTGTAATTGTAATGCCCCAGGACACATTGTCGACCCAACTGTTAACATCGCTCAAATGAACTCATGCGGAAGCGAACTAAATCATCCAATCAACAATCGATAAAACGGGATAGCAAGGAAAACATTTTATGAAGAAAACCAACGAAGCCATTTTTTAAACATAATGTTAACCCTAGGAAGATACATACGTACAAGCCTATCACGATGCTACTTCCTAAAGACCAAATATACAAAAAGGGATGCGAATGGTTGGGTTAACCTAGCTTCGCTATCAAAAAGGGGCGACAAAAAAGATGGGATATTCAAACCCATCATCAAACCCGGTGATACCCAGGCGGTGTCTTTGGATCCGACTCTATGCCATTTGGCTCAGATACTAAGGTAGCGAATGATAACCATTCTGTTCCGGAATGAGTTCTTGAAACAGAAATAGATTTTTCTATTTCTGGTTCCAGGATGAGTTTCTGAGGAAAAAAACCCGCTTGATAACGACCAAAAATTTCTATTTCTAGAACAGAAACCCGTTTGATAACAGTACAAAATTTCTATTTCCTAAAACAAAAACCCGTTTGATAAACAACAGAAAATTCTATTTTCAGGAACAGAAATCAATTTTTTTAGAAATGGAATAAAAATAATTCAAAAATTCAAAAAATTCATAAAAATCTAAAAAAAAATTCAGAAAATCCAAAAAAATTGAAAAATTCCAGAAAAAATCATCAAAATGTCGAGAAAATAAAAAAATTCAGATTTCAGGAAAATAGGAAATTTGTTGAATTTTTTCAAACAAAAATCAAGAAATAAAAAATTTCAAAACTTCACAGAATTGCTTAGAATACCTGTAGCCATCCACTTTGAGTAAAATTTAAATTTTCTGAGGTGCCCAAAAAAATAAAAAAATAAAAACAAAATAAAAAATTTCAAAATTTCACAAAATGGCTTAGAAATACCTGTGGCCACCCACTTTTTGAGTAAATTTTAATTTTTTTGAGAAGCCCAAAAAAAATTAAAAATTTCAAAACTTCACAGAATGGGTTAGAATACCCGTGGCCAACCATTTCGAGAGAAATTTAATTTTTTTGAGATTTCCAAAAAAAATGAAAAAATTAGAAATTTCAAAACTTCATAGAATGGCTTATAGAATACCTGTGGCCACCCACTTTGAGCGAAATTTAAATTTTTTTTAGGTGCCGAAAAAAAAATCAAAAAGTGAAAAATTTCAAAACTTCACAAAATGTCTTATAGAATACCTGTGGCCACCCGCTTTAAGCGAAATTTAAATTTTTGTAGGTGCCAAAAAAAATCAAAAAATAAAAAAATAAAAAATTTCAAAACTTCACAGAATGGCTTAGAATACCTGTGGCCACCCACTTTGAACGAAATTTAAATTTTTTTAGGTGCAAAAAAAAAATATAAAAAATCAAAATTTCAAAACTTCACATAATGGCTTAGAATACTTCTAGCCACTCACTTTGAGTGAAATTTAAAATTTTTGAGGTGCCCAAATGGTATTTTTGATTTTTTGATTTTTTAATTTTTATTTCGTCACCTAAAAAAACATTAAATTTCATTCAAAGTGGGTGGTCACAGGTATTCTAAGCCATTCTGCGAAGTTTTGAAATTTTTTATTTTTTTATTTTTTTTTCGGCAGCTAAAAAAATTTAAATTTTGCTCAAAGTGGGTGGCCGCATGTATTCTAAGCCATTCTATGAAGTTTTGAAATTTTTGATTTTTTTGATTTTTTTGGGGAATCTCAAAAAAATTAAATTTCTCTCGAAATGGGTGGCCACAAGTATTCTAAGCCATTCTGTGAAGTTTTGAAATTTTTCATTTTTTATTTTTTTTCGACACCTAAAAAAAATTAAATTTCGCTCAAAGCGAGTGGCCACAGGTATTCTAAGCCATTCTGTGAAGTTTTGAAATTAAATTTTATGTTGGATTCGTAACGTTACGTATGCCCACACACAAATTCCAATCAAATTAATGCAAATGGCCAAGCACTGGAACGGGTCTTCAGCATTCAACCACCATCGCTCTCGATATTTGCTCTCAATATTTGTGAGTATGCATTGTTCCTCTTAATATCCCAAATGCTTATGGAGAAAAGTAAACCAAGCACGTCACATTACAAGAGCCAATATAGGAGATCCCAAAATACCACGTCACAATACAAGAGCCAACATAAAAAAATCCTCAAATACAAAATAATGGAAATACATTAGAAAAGTCGGAAACACATTTTCATGGAATCTCCGCCATATTATTATCAATTGCCAATTGATTGGCAATTCTTTTCTTAAGCATGTTGATCTCGATATCCTCCTCAGTCGATGTATCGTCGATAACCTCATCTTGTGCACTTCCAAACGGGTACTCTGAATCACCATATTGGGAAAAGTTCTTATCCATCTTGTCTTGATCACGGATGTAATTATGAATAGCACAACATGCAATTATAATACATGACTGCTTTTGAATTGAAAATGAAGGCATATGTCTCAAAATGAAAAAGCGATTCTTTAACACCGCAAATGATCTCTCAATAACATTCCTTAGTGAAGAATGCCTATGGTTGAATAATTCTCTTGCTGTTGTTGCCTGCCTCACTCTACCCCTAAAATCATTAATATGATACCGTTCCCCTTTGAAAGGAGTCAAAAATCCCGGAGCTGCAGCATAACCAGAATCTACCACGTAGTATTTGCCTATCACAAGGTATTCATATATTGATCATGATTCGCAAATGCAATACAGTTATAAAGAAAATTATCCCATGAAAAACAAGCAAATACCTGGTGGAGGTCGAGGAAATTGTAAGCGATGTGTCTCGAGTGCTGCCGAGATCACCCGACAATCGTTGACAGAGCCTTCCCAACCAGCATACACAAATGTAAATTTCATATCAAATGAACAAACACACATCACATTCTGAGTGGTAATTCCTTTCCTGCCTCTAAATGGGATCTGTTTCGACACTGGTACAGAAGCATGAATGTGAGTGCCATCAATAGCGCCTATGTAGTCCTGTCATTTCAGCAAAGACTAGCATTATACAAGATTATCAACAAAATGTAAATGACGGTGTAAAGGAATGTATGAAAATCCTACCTTGAAGTAAGGGTTATATTTAGGATTGATAAGAATTTCTTCTGGGACAACATCAAATGAAGGTGGTACGATAATTTCTCTTGCCAGATTCAGAACTGCTTGCAACACTTTAGCAAAGTACTTGCTGATAGTTTGTCCCGAATGTTGGAATCTCTCACATAAATCTCTATTCGAGTTCTTGTGAGAAATCATAGATAAAAATATCCCAACTTGTTCGTCTACCCTAATATATCGACTATCTACCAACCAACCCCTTGCCTTCATTAAATCACAAAGGTTGAGAAAAACATGCATCTCCATTCGAAAAGCTTCATATACCCTATCTGAATGTCCATAAAGAATCTCTCTTATCCATTCAGGCCCTGACAATTTACTGTCCCTAATAGGTTCTCTCGTGTGCATAGACATGTTCAACGAAACAGTACCCATCTATGCTTTCAGTATATTAAGTTCAAAATCATTGAAGACCTGTTCAATTGGTTCAACTGATGCTATTGGACCATTATTGCTGCTACTTTCACCCCCCCATATTACTTATGCTCTCGTACGAAGAACACAAACACAACAAATAAGTCAGGAATCAACAATAGCCACAACGTCATCATAGTTCCATAATTAACAATAGCCACGTCATCATAGTTGCATAATTAAAAACAAACCAAAGTCATCATAGTTCCATAAATAAAAACAAACCAAAGTATCTCAAGGACACAAGTCATTAAGTGAAAATAAAGCAAACATGAAAAAGTCATCGTAGTTCTCAACATCTATTCAAAGAGATTCAAGAAGACCGCATCTCCTTTCAGGTAAAGATAGGACGAAACCCTCTCTCCAGTTGGCATTAAGGCATGCTTGGTTCATAGCTTTGTTGTAAAGATTCTACTTTAAGTCAGGCATGTCATTTAAGATGGCAACCACGGCTCCCATGGAGTAAGGGTTCTCAGGTGGGGGGGCATTGAGGTGACAGAGCCACTTGTTGATTGACCCGCCTTGGACTTGATCATATCTTGAATGGCTTTGCAGGTGCCAGCAATATCATATGTGCTACTCTTTCTCCTCATCTTGGAATTTGGAGTCCTATCCAACTTGTGATTCTCACGAACTTGCGTGGCACTCACGTCAGGTATGAAGACTCCATCACTAAGTTCGTTTGGATCACCTACCAAAGCAGCACCACCATTGTCACCACCACTACCATTGTCTTCCCCCTCCGACACCACCAAGTATTCTGCATTTCCTACTGCGTAATCCCCAGTAGCATATGTATCGCCAAACACGATACACAGATCGGGATATTGAGGAAACCCATCCTTTCGGAATTTAGCCCATTCGATGTTATCCTGCAATTTCAAAAATAGTGATATACGTCAGCAACATAATCGAAACATACATCCACAATAAGAACTAAATTACCCAAGTAAACTGATACCTTGATGTGATCATCCTATACACTTGGATCCTCCACAATAACCGTTTTGTTAACATGATCCCATCCAAATCCAGATTGTGAAAGAAGCTTCTTATAACTCCCATACTGTCTCCTCAATTTGTTTGTCCTGTTCTTCAACTGAACTATAGTAAACTGGAGTGTTGTTTGTTTATTGAACTCGTAACTATGTTATTCCACCCTACTTTGTTGTAGGTAGTAGTGGTGCGATTTCCTCTTTTTACCTCTTCTACCATTAAGCTTACAAGCAAATTGGTTAAAGGCTCAGTCCACTTTGCCACAAATGCCTCTTTTTGAGATGCCATTTACCCTTAACTGGTTGAACATCAAATGAAGCACATCATATGGTGTACCAATTCAAATGCAGAAGATTTGATGTAAAGAGCCATATCATCTACAATTTGAACCGTTCGATGTACATGTGCTTTAATGTTGAGTGTTCTGATAGATAATTAGCGCTAACTTTATTGTTTGAGAAATTCAGAAGAACTCAGCAGAAATGCAAATGATGTAGGAGTATACTGATATATTCAGGCAAAACTTCGTAAATGGAAAACGAAAAGGAAAGTAAAAAGCCACGCTTTATTTACTAAGAAGACCTGAGCAGCTAGAGTGTGAAGAAAAGTCCAGGTGGCCCTCATGAGTTCTCCTTTACTTACAGGTGCAGCAGCTTGTACGTGAAAAAAATATTTAGTTAGAGTTTCAAACAGGCAACTAATCTCGACGAACTCAAAACTGAAAGTACAGGACCGGAACAGAATGATAGGAAACCAGAAAACCAAATAGTGACCACTGTCAATGGTTTTCCACAAGAGCAACATGATTAGCATCATAATGATTGCCAGTAATGTCCAAAAGGGGGGAAGAAATAAAAATATTTGCACAAAGAAACCGGATAGTATATGAAAAGGGATAAGTATATAGCTCATTAATAACAATAATCACTGGAAAGAATTATCTTTAGACTTAAGGCCTATTTGTTTATGTTTTTTTAAAAGTAAGTAGCAACTTTTTATTTTCAAGCAAAAACGTAAATACTATACAAATTTTAAAGAAATTATAAATAATTATAAATAAATGTATGTGTCAGCATTTGTATATTGCAAAAGTTTCAAGGAGCCAAGATAAAGTCAAATTGCGTCCGCCGTAAGATTTAGATTAAGCAAATGGTAAAAAATATAAGCCTATCTAACCACACCCTTAAATAACTAGATGGCTCTCTAAAATACTGAAGATACATGTAAAATCTCTCTGGGTGAAAATATAGGCAATAGCCAAATTAAAGGGTCAAAGCTATCAGTTTTTGTATCTGATCAAGAAATGAAGTTTGCTTTTTTCCTCTCCCCTGTTGTGCTTAATTATAGTATGAAGCTACAGTTGCACTATCGCAGAAAAGTATAAGAGAGAAAATGGCATAATACTAGTCATCAATCATATTTCAGCATTCTTGAAATTCAGTAAGGTTCACATGCCATAAGAACAGCACCATATGAAAGTTACAGCGGCAAATAGAGTTCTGCAATGGCAGCTAGTAATAACTTCTGCACATAAAGCCAACTTTTTCTTCTTGTTTATATTTTCTATAAGATAAGTAAAACGGAATCCACCGGTAAAAGACTTGGATGTCCTTGTAAACGATGAAGCGTAGACAGCAAGTTGCTACTAGTGCAGCAACTGCAACAAAGGGGATAAACAAGAAAACCGATCGTTGAAAATCACACCAAATTTCAAAGGAAAACCAGCATTTAGGATTTGCAACGTCATCCGATCCATCCATGGGGCAAGACAGTTCAGAGAATTGCAACTAAATAATCGCAATTAGGCCCTATGTGTCTATTTATCCAATATCATGTCAAATAGCCCTCATGTTGTAGTTTAGTTGCCTGTTTCATGCATGCAAGTAGCAAAACAATAAGCTCCCATGAGTGTTTGTGATTATCACCAAACTGCCTCTGCCGCTGAACATGATCTGGGGGAGGCCGAGCGGCCTCGCCATGGCCGAAGGAAGAGATAACTCTAAAATATCGAATTTTTCATACAAAGTTCGCTTCGATCGCCTTGACTTGCGAACGCCCAACAGATCATGTTACACTCTAAAATCCCACGACAGCAATTCAATCAACTGAAAAAACAGGGGACACATGCAAAGCAATCACGACAGCATCAGCCCCCGAATCAAACACTAAAAACAACCGAATTTTCCCCAAACTTACCGAGGGAAAGCAACGGACGCCGAGACTCCTGGGAGGAGGGGTGATCTCGACAACCTTGTAGGGGTGGCGACTATCTCTTTCACGATCTTTCTTCCTGCAGGAGATATGAAGGCCCTGCGCGCGAGCAAAAACCCACAACGTACAAAGCCGGCGACTTTTCGAGACGTCAACCTCGTTTGCACGCACCCATTCCGTAAAAATTAAGGATTTCGAAATTCAACGAACAAAAAAAAAAGGGGGAAAAAACCTCCATGGAAATGGTGAAATGCCGGCGGTCGACCTCGCCGTCGCCCAGATCGTCGACCGGCGGCCATGGCGAGGTCGAAGCTGACCCCCCGATCACGGCGACTTCCAAATCCAGAAAAGAGAGAGATGAGAGGAGATCCAGCGCAGGATCAGAGCTTACGTGGAGCAGGAGAGAGCGAACGAGTGGCCCTGGCTTCCTCCGGCCGGAGCGAGCGAGCGAGCGGCCCTGGCTTCCTCTCGACGGCGACAGAGAGAGAGTACAGAGAGAGACGGGCTTCCAGATTAGAGAGATGAGTGGAGACGAGAGGAGACGAGAGACAGATGTGTTTTTTGAAGAGAACGAGTTCCTCAGAAATGATTCTGACTTTTGTTCAAGAAATGAAAAACCTACTTTTTTTTTTGTTCTGATTTCTGGTTCAGAATCGGTTCTGGAACAAAAACTTGTCCCAGAAATAGAAAAATGAAATTGCGTTACCAAACGGGTTTCTGGTCCAAAACTGATTTTGGGAACAAAAAACCAGTTCTGGACAGAACCAGAATGGTTATCATGCGGTACCTAAGTAATCCGAGTCAGACTCCGAATCTATAACGACCCCATCCGGAGGGTCGAGATCCATGGGACCCCACACCTCGTCTCCTATTCCACCATTAGGTGGTCCATCAAAACCCTTAATGGGTCCGAACAACCCATCTCCATCCCTCAGAAACCAAGCTACAAACTCATGAGGCTTCCACAATGCCAAGCCCTCATCCACCCAGATGGTGGTTGCGTGCTTCTGGTACGCCCTATTCGGTCCAACCGGATACTCAGATATGACTGTGCCCATATCCATGGGCACTCCAAAGCGTGTGGGCGGATGGTTCATACTCGGGGGTCTGAAAATATTTAACAAATAACAATGAAATAACTCAGCAAGTAAACTCCCTAAACCTTGCTTAGGAGAATACATTGCCTCTAGAATGCCCTAAATATGCAATCGCTCCCACGAGCACATAACAGAATTATAACAACACATATTATGGCACAAACATGCACACCAACAACTTAATAATCCAAATATGCTCAATCATCAACCTTAGGCACATAGTACTCATCGATGCAAATCGCACTCGTGATAATCCAGGTTATTAACGACCCCTCAGGTCACGGCACATCCCACGGATGACGGTCTTCCAGCATGCCAGGCATCGTCCCGCACCACCCCGGTGACGGCATTGTCTCACCAACCTCAATGACGGAATCCCATAAATGGGTTTGTCCTGAATCCGATTCGCGAACGATTTCATCTCACCCTGCCCCTACGACGGCATCCAATTATCAAAATTGGGCACGACCTTTAAGGCCACGGCACAACCCCAAGGGTTGGCGGTCTTCCGGTGAAACCGGGCATAAATGGAATTGTAGGTGACCATGCACACACAGCATTCACTCAAGTCTCAATTCTTATCTTTCTCAATTAGCCAATGCAAACATGATCCGTGCTCGTCCATCAAAATATCACGACTTTCATATGTAGAAATGC